TGCCTGATCCAAGTAGTCTTCACAAAGCGGGCATTTCAAAGCTGCCTGGAATGAAAGACGCGGGTTTGCCAGACAAAAGTCGAATGGCTTGCTATGAGTCTGTGATGGTCTGTGCTTCTTCCTCGGCAACCCAGTAAAAATGCTATGAACACCACTCAGGGCAATCTTAGCAATCATGAGCAATCAAGTTTGCACTTGTTGACATCATGGCCAACAAAACAAATCTCAAACGCATTGCTTCTGCAGCGGTCGCAGCATTTCATCGAATTGTATTTTTTATGGGTGGTGGTTGTGGAATCATGTAAGGATCACATGCTCAAGAACTTCTGATGAAATCGCTGATGAAATGATTTGCTTTGTGCTCCACACATGCACCCGTGCAGCACCACAGACAAAGACCTCCGAATTCTGGAAAGCTTCTCAGGCGGGTAGCTGCTTCGCTGCTCAGGCCCTGGTCACCCTGTCCCCCCCGGCGCACCGGAACTGGGCTCGGCACATCCTGCCTGAGGTGTCAAACATGAAGTGCTGGGAAGTCTTGACCAATTCAATAAACAGTCCGGGAGAGAGATGCTGAACGCAGCACCATCGTGCGTGGAGTCTAGGTGGAGTGTGATGATAACGGATGCATGAATCAGCTCCAGCAGCTCTCAATTCCAGCATCCAGGAACCTGTAAACAGGCCTCAACAACACCAAAGCCACAGTCTGGAGCCCTTCTAACGTTGCCCTTTCCAGCATCATGTCTACCCCGCCAACCTTTAGGAGAGACGCTTGGGTCATGAATCATGCACCAACCTCACCAAACAACTACGGTGCAGTGGGTTCAGGGTAGATGCACAACCCAAGTCCACTTTTGGATATAGGAACCCATCGTAACCAATCGAAATTGATTGATGCATCCAGCCGGTTCGTCGATGAAACCTTTCCCATCCTTGGTATTTTGTATTCATGATCTTTTGGTCTCTTGTTTCATCGGGAGCCGGACCCCGGTGGCTGGGCGGGGCTCCCCACCACTGCGACTGCTCGATCTGCGGACCACTCTGTGACTCCTCCGTGGGAGCTGAGTCGCACATTCTCGTTGACTTCAAGCAGTGAGGTGTTTGGTCGCGGAGTTCTTTTTCACGGCAAATAAACAAAGAACTTATTGTGGATTTCAAGGGGGGCCAATCCCTCTAAGACCAACGAATCCCCCAAAAGCAGCCTAGGGAAAAACAAGGTCGGCCCAAGCAAGCAATGCGAGCAAAGCAAATGCTGTTTTCTCCGCAAGATGCGAAGGGTCATCCGGATGCCTGTGAGTGAAAAACCAGCGGATGCGAAAACCTGCACAACGTCAAGCCGATCAAGCGAAACAGCTGCATCACACTTATTGGTCACGCCTTGCCATGCACTTGCTAGCACTCTTACTAGTATACTAGAGTTACTAGAGCAAAGCGGCACGGGATGACCATGTTGGTTTTCTGAACGGCTTGCATTGCAGCCGCTTTACATCACACGGCCGCAACGCCTCGAAGCTGCAGAGTGTCGAGCAGGCAAGTGCTTTTGTGAAGCAGCAGGGGGCAGCACAACATCCAGCATCTCATGAAAAAGAACATATCAAGGGAAATGCACCAAGATCGCAAAAAACGGGTAGTAGGTCAAGTTCCAACACCCTGATGAAAGGAACATCAACGAATCCTCTTCGAGGTAAAACACAACTGCCCCTTTCCTCTCCACACCCAGTCCTCTGCTTCTGGCTTCTTGACCTTTTGATGTGGTCGCACTTGACCCGGGCAACATAGGCACTGTGACCCATGTCCCTGTGCCTTTTGTGGGACACAATATCACACGAAAGCGCGTCCCTAGAGAAGGACGTCCCCATCCCCAGCTTGTCTAGAAAGTTAACGGATTCACTCCATGACCGACATGTCCGAAGATTGCACCAAGACGTGTGCATCCTGTGCCGCTGTCACCCATCGCTTGGTGTAACAAGGCCCTGTGATACATAAGCCCAATCTATGACCCCCCCTCCTTTTCAGGAAGTCACCGTCAAGTGGTGTAGTAATGGTGTAGCAGCTCTAGTTACATCACACATCACATTTTCTGCGTGGAGCATCGTACCAAAACACCCTCCATCCCCGCCGCCCCAATCCCGCCTGGCCGCCCGGAGGCAGCTCCCAGGCGGTTTCATCGGTCTCCTCATTGTGGTAGTAGATGTCCCCTGCGACGGAGGCCACGAAACCAGGCGACCTTCGATGTTCAGGCGGCCTGGTATGCCCTGGTCAGACCGTCGGTGGACACGTTGAAACGGCCGTTTCCCAGTCGCTGAAATGTAGCCCACTCACCAGCCCACCCTTCCTCCATGAAGCACCCTGAAGCACATGGCCATAGGGTTTTGGTATGGACCCCAATGAGTCAAGCAACACGAGCAACCCAGATCCGATCTGAGTTCGGCAGCGAACTAGAAGTTCGCCCACCGCGTGCGACACCCCGCGGTTCATAAGAGGCGATAGGTTCGCTCAAACAGGCTGAAACTGCCCAACAGCTCGAACACCTGCAACTTCAAGACCCATGGCCAACCAATTGAAGATATTGGGCCTAAAGTGGAAGGTCATAAACTATCATTCCCCACGTTCATGAATGTTACAGGAACAAGTTGGACCGCAAAGCCTACGCACACCCAAATGATTCATGCACCTTCACCACCTCCAGCCACGCCGCCTTCTTCTGTTTGCACTTCTGTCCAATATGTCCTCGGTGCCGGACAGAACCGAACAAACATCGGGCAGCTTGGACCGATGACCGATGGACGTATCCAAGAAAAACACATTCTTCCAACAATCCTGTGCTGCATTGCTCGACTGAACTTGTTTTCCCACTGCCAAGGTCCAGGCATTGGCACCGCTTCCGCAGCCGCCACAGCTTTCCCATCTCCAGGCGTTTCGCTGGCTCCCTGCCCTTTTGCTCCCGGCCCAGCGGCTCCCCCAGTGACGGGCTGTCGTGGTGTGGCTTGCGCTGGTGGGGCTGGGATGACCTTGGCGCTGGGGCCCAAGGACTTCGAGTGAAGCCCCGTCTCTTGGAGCCCAGCTTCTTTGGCCTGGGCCAATCTGGTTAAGACCGCGGGCGTCTTGGGCATGGGCGGCCTGGGCACAAAAGCCGTTCGGTCCGCGGCGTTCGAGTGATTGAGCAATATTTGGAATCAAACAGTGGGTGACAATGACAACAAGCGCTCTTTAAGCACATATTTCAAGCATTTGCAACTAGAAATGTGGAATCTTACCTCGCACTCCTCACAAAATAAGTTCCCCAGCTGGCCCATCTGGACTCCTTGGCTTTGTCTCAAGTCCCAAACCCCAAACAAAACCAACAAGGCCAGTGATCGCCCGTGTCTTGCTCACTTGGGGGTTACGTCGTCAGGCCCTTCGAGTCCCGTTTCTGGACTCAAAAAGCTTAGAATGAGCTTCCTGGATCCACCTCTCACTGATCTGAGCTTCCTCGCGGAGCCTTGCTCTTGGGCATGGCCAATCCAGGCCTCACCCACAGGAGCAAAAACGGCAAACATGTGAAAACGCTGTCATTGCACGTCCTGGAACCTACAAAAATCCGAAGGATTGATCCATAACACTGACCTGGGATCTGAAACCTCTCTCCACATGACGTGTTGTGTTGAGAATCCCATAAGTGGTCATGATGTAGTATGCGGTTTAAACTACTATAGTTTATTATATATATAGTTTAATCAATGACTCAACGCAGTTGTACTGAAGTTCAGTTCTGTGTCCACTCACCTGAATCAAGCGCGTGCTTGCAAATGATTCAATTCCAAGCATGTCCAGACTTACTATAGATTTACTAGTGGCCGATCATTTCATCCACGGACAAGACAGCTGAAAACACAAGTTTGTAGAGCTAGGGCTCTGAACTCGAACTTGCGCTGAGAGTATTCAGGACATGACACCCTTCCAGCAGTATTCTCACCAACATCTAGCAAAGTCTTGTGCCCTGTAAGGACAAAGCAGGTCTACATTCCGGTTTTGGGTCCGCACTTTTGGGAGGGTCCGGGCAAAGCATGTATTTATGCGCATGGGTACTGGCAGCCGATTTCAGTGTGTCGGTTTGCTTCCAATGATATATTATACATATATACCGAATTACGCTGATATGCTTCAATGATCTTCAATGGCCTTGCAAATGCTGCATTCTCGGTAGATGACAAGCCCCTGATTTGCAGGGCTACACTACTCTCCCCCGCTCGCCGATCTGAATCAAGCGCGTTCTAAGGCTGGAACTCTCGCCAAATGCAATCTTTCGGTTTGGGCGGCGCCTGGCGCTGGCATGCCCAGGGTCCATATAAACTCTTTTGGGGATTGTGCCTTCTACTTTCCATCCACTGGCGCTTCATGGTTTGACACACTTAAGGTCTCAATGACTAAACAACCATCGGTTTTGCCGAGTCTTTAGTGGGTCGATGCCGCGAGCTAAGGGACCAAACTACGACAAAGTAAAGAAATCCAAAAGGCAAACATCAGATTCAATCAAGAACGACATCGAAGCCAGGGATGTTCGCAACATGCCCCACAGCAGCATGTAGATCCTGACAGTCTGATTTAGTCATACCAGGACCCGCAAGGGGTGGTAACTACTTACCCTCTAAGGGGCTAGTGAAGAACACTCCTTGGGCCAGGGCCGGTGTGAGTTTTAAGTTTTTTCGGCACCGTGTGACCAAGCTTCACAAGCAGTTGCTCTCCAAAACAAACATGGAAAATGGACAATCCCCCTTGCTCTGTATTGCCCAGGCTGGTCTTATTCATCCCCATGGCTGGATCTTGATTAATAAATGCCCCCCATATGAATTGGAAAATCCTCTTAATGAGGGGTCTGTTAATCAAGAGCCTACATTATGGCCCACTCCCTCGAATCACTGGCATAATTGAACATCACCAGCAGAGTCCCCTCGGACCCTGCTCCCGCTGCCGATCGCAATCGGTGCCATCCGCTGCTCGGTGACGGTCGATTCTTCCATTATCCTTTTTTCTCCAGTCAGCAGAGTCTTAGCCCAACTTCTTGGCCTCGAGGGGAAGTGAAGAGATGAAGCCAAGACCACTGCCACGAAGTCTTATGCAAGATGTATGCAATTATGAACCTTTCCTCATGGATTTGAACGACGCCGTTTTCAGCCGTTGTCCGTGCGTAAGGACTTACCAAGCTGCACAATCACTTCAACACGCTGATTCCCTGGCTGAGGTTGCTAAGAAAGTATACTTGAGAATACCGTTACCCTGGTAGAAGGAACGGTTCCCCACTTCCCCAAACCTGCATAGTTGGAGGGCTTCACTCATCATGACACATGTCCGACTTTCAAGTGCCAGAATTTGAACTCATCCAAACCTTGCACCCCCCCGCACAACAATCAGTTGGACCAAGGCACCTGGCCCTGGGTGGGCTCTATGGTTCCGTGCGGCACCAAATATTGCTGACCTTCTTGGGGTCCTGGACTCGGTGTCTTCTTCTTCTGTCCTTCACCGGCCACACCGAGTAGCCGAGGGTCCGGGCCCGGCCGCACCGGTGCGCAATGCCGGAAACGGTCTAAAGACTCTAAGCGTAGCATGTACCGTGGCATTCAGAAAAGACCTGGCATATAAATCATGTGAGTGGTTTCGGGTTCCAAGTGGAGCCCTTCAGGAGTACGGCAGACTTGGTCCATAATGCCAAGCGGTTTTGGTCAAGTAAATCTAATCTAGTTTCCTCTTTCACAGCTATTCAAAGGGCCTTCAGTTCGCCGACTTGGTCAACATTCTAAAACTATTCTAAGACGGTCAACTGCAGCATGAAGTCGTAAAATCAAACAACTTCGGGGTCCAACGCGTCAACGCACCTTCCCTGCATGGGAGAGGTGACCGGAGCGCTCCCGGGCCTGGTTTGCGCTCCGAGCCGACCCCAAAGACTTCGGCACCCAGAGAGCTCCAGCGGAACCTCAGATGTGAAGGAATTCGTCGAAGAACGCCTGGTCCGAAGAACACGGCCGAATTCCATCGTGGATGGACCAAGTCAGGACTGAAGACTTGCCGGTCAGACCAATGGAACCAGTTCGCCTATCCGAACATGGGGTGTGCTGCTTGTCATGGTTCCAGGTTGCACCCTGAATGCTGAGCAAGAATGGGGCAGTTAGTTCACCACAGCAACTAAATAGATCAAAGGCTTTCATGCAATTCATCCAACGGCCTCGCTGGATGTGAACCTGTTAAGGAAAAAGGAAGCAATGAAGGCACAAAAAAGAAAGCAAAGCATAGACATGGGTCCCAAATGCGTGAAACAAAAGTGATGCTGGTTTCCTGCACGGGATGCAAACCATCACACCAACCGCTGCACATCCCCTCCCGCTCTCAGATATGATATGGCAATCCATAGCACCATTGCCAGCACCAATAGCCCCACATGCATGGTTGGATCCGAACGCTGAGCTGGACCCTGAGGCTTCACCACAAAAAAAACTCCTGATAATGCACAGGTGCACCAGGTCTGCGAACGGACAGTTGCAGCATATATATATATATTTATGTATATATAGTATTGTTCTACATATGCGTATCATTATGTTGAGTCCAACCTTACTCGCTGAGGAAACCAAGGTGAGAAAATAATACACTTGCCTGGAGACTATGGACTTGCACAGCCCTAGGGTTTTGTACCGAGGTTCCATTGAACAAATAACTATTTGCCCAACGTAGTGACGTAGTGGGAACAGGTGATTCTTAACATAAACGAGGGATTTGCTAACCGGGTGCTTCTAAGTGCTTTGTGCTAAAGCTGTTGCGTTTTTCCTCTGCGTTGGGTTTCAATGCCTCAGCCACCCCCAAAAAACACCAACTTCACAATACACAGAGCGATCTCCAACACAGAAGCAGTGCGGACGGCGGGCTGAGGCCTGAGGCATCATTCAATCAAAGACACCAGCCCAGCACCTGTCTCCTCATCCATCCCTTTTTTGCATGACACAAAGCTAGGTGTTTCATGTACCTTTGTTGCTGAAGTGCATTCAATGCACACCCTATCACAATAGATTCAACTTTTTTTGTTCAACAACATCAATGAAATACGTATTCCCCCTGAACCACGGGGAGGTTGTGCAATTTGAGACTCAAAACGTTCAAAGCGCTTGCTCGCTGAGCTGCAAGAAGGTTGCCTAGCTGTGGAAAGGTGAATAGGGCGATGGGACTTTGGATCACTTTCGAACACTTCACCTCCAGTCCACAGGTGAACTTCCAAAATTGCTTCCAGCGTCCATTTTCCAAAGACTCCAAGTCTGGCATATTTGCTAGTCCCTATGGGCAAAGGAGTGGTTATGTAAGTTACAGTATATCTTGCCACTGCATGGAGTGTTTGGGATTCGGCTTCGGCCTTCATCGCCATGCGGCTTCTGATTCTGCATCTGCGACTTGGCGGACTCAAACTCATTTCTCTCGTACACCCACCTGCCGCAAGTCTCGCCACCGGTGTCCCCAGACATGCTTCAAAGGGTGGCTGGGTGAGACTGCAGTCAAATACTTCAACTAAAAAGAGTAGCATGCAGCATGCTGGGGTAGAACACATCCGTTTGTAGAACATCCTCCTCCAGGGAACTTCAACCTGTCGAAGAGTTCTGTTTGGACATCCCTTGCCAAAGCTTGTTCAGATTCAAATCCCCCGAAGCTAAAACATTTGTTTATTTTTTGCATCTCCGCTTGATCGGCTTCCCAGGCCAGCTCCCTCAGTGGGGTGGGTAAGTAGATGAATCATAGTGAAACCTCACAGTTCTCGCAACATCTTTTTACATTGGCACCTAAAATCATGACCCACTTCCGGGAAGCTCTCATAAATGCTCGTGTCAAAGGGCGCCTTCGATCTGTGCCCCCTTGAGCTTCGCATTCCTACCATTCCCACGCGCCTGCCAAAGAAGCCAATGGCCCATGTATTACTTCGGTTGTTGTCCCGGCCAAGGTAGGGGGTGAAGAGGTCCACCAGGAAGTCCAAGACATACCTTCAAACGGGTCTGGAAGTCGTGCTCGGGAAGTTGAACATGTGCGGGCAGTCGGCAGGCGCCGGCCGACTGCCCTGGGCAAAACGATGACAAATCAAACGTGGACACCAAAGCCTCTTTCTCCCTACACCCCTAGGGCCCCTAGGGATCCACATACCCTCTCCTGAGAAGGTGATTGGACCCTCCAAGTCTGCATAAAAGAGTCTCCAATCACCTCAAAGGGCATGTGGATCCCTAGGGTCTGGTGGCTACGGTTCTCCAAACATGCAACGAGTTGACATCGGGTTGCAGCGGACTCTGGAGCTGGAGGGTTGCGTTGGAGGGTTGACAAGGGTCTCTCTACACTTCAAGAATTGCTTTAAAAATATATGTAAATACTTAGTTTTTTAGTTACGCGTACGTATATACAATCGGTTGGGGCAAAGTAGTGGGATGAACTAACATCCAAGCATGGGATCATAACGGATCTTTGTAACAACATCCTGCGCTAGCACGCGGTCCAAGGCCCGGCAATGGTTCGATTATTTTTGCTTTGTTCGTCCTGATTTCCACTTGATCACCTGTGTTTCTCGAGAAACGCGACGCCAACTCCAAAAGCCGGAAGCAACACGTGCGATCTTGTGCTCCCAGGCAGCATGTACGCGAAGACGTCAGTGCTATCGGACATCGCCTCACCTCAAAACGCTGAAAGTTTGGCTCCGCATAAACCAAACGTTGCATGTCTTCAGAAAGTGCGGGTTATTTCTGTGTAGCTGCCAGGGCACCTTTAAAAGAACACAGGTAAGTATATAAGTAAGTATGCAGTACATGTGTTGTGCATATTCATAAATATATAGTGTGCATAATTGTCCATAGTGCTTGTGAAATATGCTTAGATGTTGGTAAATATGCAAATATAAATAGATCCGTAATATACTACAATATATATATATATTTATACGTATATATATATAATAATAATATATATTTAATGATTTCCGGGCATAGAACTAAACCCGCATGATTTGGGGCACAGCTACCGTTGCACCGACTCCGGGAGCAGCCCAGCCCCACTGGGTCTTGACGCGCCATGAATCGATTTGCGGTCCAAGGATGGGGAAGAAATGCATTTCACCAGAGGATGTACAATGATTTACAATTTATACATCAAGAAAATGTCAACCACACTTGCAGTCCCTTCTTTTGCATACCTTCTTTCTTTTTTCCGTGTTTGTGCAAATGCGCCAAAGATGCAACTGGCAAGTGCCGAAGAGCTCTCAAACATTCCAGGTACTGTAGCTAGATTGCACCAATCCTGGTAGATGTGAACTTCCTTCAGGCCATGAAACAAGAAACATATCTTGGGTGATAATTTTTTGGGGTGCCTGAACACCGGTGCCAAAGACACCGCCTTAATACCGTCCGACTCTTTCAACCCTTCGAATCCCGCTTCCAATGGCGGCGGAGAGAATCCACCCGCCCAGTGGCCGCTGGAGCTCTTCGCGTTGGCGTTGATGAGGGCCATCGAAGCCCCGCAGGTGGAGACGGCCAAGAGGATGAAGAGTAGAGCTAAGCCCAACTGGTTCATGCTGAAGTCTGAAGCCTCTGCACGGACCAACACCACCCAACCACCCTAGAATGATGCTGTTCTTTGAAACGTCCATCCAGGCAGATCGTAAAATGAAACATCCCCCGCACATCCATCACCACCGGGGCATTCTCTAGACGAATATGCAAAACGTGTAAGATGTGCAAGCAAACTTTCTATAAAACGATCTTCCTGACTCAGAAGTACACAATGATGAAGGTACAAAGCTCTCTACAAAACGCAAACCAATATTTGACGTGATGAGCACGAAAAATGAAAGGCGGGCGGCGGGCCTCTATAATTAGAAATTTGCGTCAAGAAAAAAATTTACAGCCCTGAAGAAAGACCCATAACTCCAGACTCTCTTCACTGGTCATGCACACCCCCAAGTTTCATGTCCTCAAATGCAATCCTGCAGGTTTGATGGACATCCTCCAGGTGCAAAGATTACTGCTCTGAGGTGAAACGATCGTCCGCCACATTCCACATGTCACAAAAAACCAGGGCATCTCTCTATAGAATGACCCATGGTTCTCCCTGGAGCGCCATTTTAGATGCAAGGGATCGACGGCAATATGTGGAGGGATGGTACAGAACCTGCTAGAATCCCCAATATGTAGAGGGATGCTGCGACAGATCCGGACTGGAAAACCACTGGCTGCCAGTTCGTAAAGCTGTGGCTTTTGGATGGGCTATGAGGGAGAGGGGTTGCAACGACTTCCTCCTAGAGCTCAAATTTTACCTCCAACCTAATTGCAATGGCCTCCAACCCAAGCCTAAGAGCGATGGCCTCCACCCTACCAGCGATGGCCCTCCAACCAGTGCAACGACTTCCTCCTAGATTGAGCTCAAATAAGAAAACCCGCCCAGCCACCCGGCCCGATGAAACAACTGCAGTGATCACCAGGAGGCGGTGGCTGAATGGTGGACATGCTGATCCGAGTCCGTCTGGACCCCATAGGAGATAAACCTCGCACGTGGATCGCGGATAGATGTGAAGACCAGTCGCACTGGAGGTCCACCATGGTCTCTCTATACCGTTCGAACCCGAGGGGCGCCGATAATTAGGGAGTACCACGGATCCAAAATATGGCCCCCTTCCCATCAAAGCAAGGGTCAAAGGGCTCTAAGCATAGAGACAAAGAGACTATATAATATAATATACTGTATGTCTATAGGTCATTAGTCAACAGGGATCAATGCTCCGGCTCTGGGAGGTTTCGAAGGCCTTGGGCAGGGGTGTGTGCTTTGTCACACGCTTCCGTGGCTAGAAATGGAAGCCAAACATATTGCTGCGGCAAACTGCTCTCTATGCACCAAACATACTCTCCGCACACTTGGAGTTCTCCAAGTGTGAATCTTTCATATTGGACTTGGCTGTCCCCAGGCCAGGTCTGGTCCCAGAAACACGAGCTTCAAGGCGTTGCGGAAGGTGAGGCAAAGGAAGATCATCATCACATTTCCTCAGGTCCAAATGGACAGTGAAGAACACCAATTGAGTGAAATTGCCGTGCCAAAACCATGATCCTCAAAGCAGGTCATGCAAAAAAAGACCGAAGCCGGCTCAAAGTGCATCAATTCCAGCTCTAGAGATCATGCACCATCAGTGTGTTTGGGAGGAGGGCCTGCTTAAATGTTACCATAGCCGCACCTAATCAAATGAGCTGTGTCTGCGCTGTTGGGTGGACTTAGCCCCTATACCTGAACGATCCTGAACGGTCGCCGAAAGGGAGGAGGGTGCAAAAGCAGCTCACATGGGAACATTTGCACGTTATTATACGTTATTGCTCGTGGATGACTGATGACCTGAGATGAGATATCAACTCTTGCTAATTACTTCTCTTCAATAAACGGTGAGGTCATGTGAGGTCAACAGTTGCATAGATTTGCAACAATGTGAAAACGAGCACCGGCACCACCACCCAAAAGCCTTGCCGAACCAGCCAGGGCACGAAGCATCCAGGAGCTGGCCCAGGTGGACACTGCTGCAACCAAGGACCAGCTGACAACTGGGCCAGGCACCCAACGCGGATTAAACAAGTGTCTCTTTTCTTTGTATGCTGTAACTACTAGCGATGGCCTCCAACCTAATAGCGATGGCCTCCAACCTACTAGGGATGCTAAGGTTCCGCCACGTGTCACTTTGACTTGCCCTCTATCAGCCTTGATACACTTGTTGGATCTTTTTCATCATGAATATTTTCTGAAGGCATGCCCAGCGTATGCCGGTTCCCACTCATCACCTCCTAATGATCCTACCTTTGGGAAGACTCCCCTCTCATGCTGTCCCAATTGCCTGTGGCAACTCCTGCCACAATGATGCGCTGCCACTTCTTGTATGGATGTGCTGGATGGCTCAGCAAGCAGCTCAAGTACACATGGCGATTCGCTGCCTCAGTCTTCAGTCTTCATCTCCCCGAATCACGAAAAAACAACCAAACACTCGCCAGATTTGGACACAACAGTGTGGAAACAACAATAAACCCACAAGAGATGAGTGCATATCCAAATAATATCAAAATCATGCAACCTTTGCAAATTGGCTATCAACACTCATGCGACATCCGCCATGAACACTCATAATATGTTGCCAATCTTTTTCCGGACTCATGCTTTGTAAAACTGCCTGCTGCCAATAGTCCTGACAGGGAAAACAACAAACGACGCCAATTCTCGGTAGCACAAAGCGATCAAACTGGGGAATCCAAAAACGGTCGGTCAAGCGGAAAACCTCTCGTCTGACTTCGCGTTTTACGCAATGGCGTTCGGGTGGTCCGGACAGAATCGCTGCATGTTTGAGTTCTGGCGTCCAACCGACGGGTGTCCAACCGACATCGGTGGCGTTCACAGCCGTCGACCGGACGAACCGGAACTGGACGGCTTCAGCAGGGACCTGTGGTTGCAACTGTTCGGCGATGCAAGAGGATGGTCTTAAAGAGTCACAATGGTTCATGTTTGTTGGATTTCTATCAGAATGAAACTGGGCTTGAGATCGACTGGCAGCTTGCTAGAGATGATTCTGCTGACCCCAGCGCGCAGCGCACAAATCCGCTCTTTTCACAAGTCAACCGTTTTGGTTTGGGTGAACATTTCCTGTGTGAGGCCGCTGGGGGAACTTTCACGGCTCGAGCCCGCAGCCACGCTCGGTCCGCCCGGGACGCACACCGGCCAGAAGCGCTCGCGTGGCCGCAGCAGTGGCATGTTCAACTCGGGCCATCGTGGTTTCGGCAGCTTGGCGATCTGCTCCTCCACCGCGATGCGGTAGTAGCGGAGCTCTAGCTCACTGGTGGGCATCCTAAGAGAGCTAGAGCTGCTTGTTGAGTCGCCAAGGCATACACGAAACGACATGTTTCACGATGAGGGTGTCAAAAAGAAATCGCCGGGTTAGAGGCCACCAAAATGTGCATACATTAGAGGGTCCAGAGATGTGAATACATTAATTTACTGTATGTAATAAGTGATGTCTTCTGTTGCTAACTAATTAGATCTAGGGAATTTGCAAGCGTCTAGAGTCTAGAGCAAACCACCATAAACCACGGTGTCATGTGAGGGTCATACTGTTTCAGCGTTTTTCAGTTGTTTCAAGATGTTCAAGCCATGTGTCATGGCGTGCCGTAGCTTCACTTTGAGATTGCTGATGGCTCTGAGCCACAACTGCTTCTCAGCCACACTTCTCGCCGCAAAGTGGTAGTCATTGATGCTGAAGCAACTGCAGTCCACACCCAACCGTTCAGTGACGCTACAGATAGCATCAATAGTCAGGCTCACTAAAAGGCACTGGCAGGAGTCGTCCTCGGTGTTCGGTGCAGATTCCTACAACTGGAGCCACCTCAACAGCCCACCTACCAGTACAACTGGATTCCTTTCGTTCGCTACCCAGGGCTCTTCCAACAGCCTTGCCTTACCTCAACAGCCTCCCGGCTTAGCGCTTAGCCGACAGACCCTCCATGGCTCTGTGCCTCATAGGCCATCAGGCTGGTCGTCTCTTCCAAGGGCGCATGCAGTTCGCCAAAGACCGTGGTGACGCCATGCTCATCAAAGAGCAGCAAGTGACCCGCCAACAAGCGCGTCTTCGTCCATGGCAAGTAGCTCGGCCTCGTGACCGGTTTCGAGACCTTGGAGCTAACAGCCAGCAGGGCGCGACCGGTATGTCATGGTATATCTAGATTCTGACAGCCCCGGTGGCCGGTGGCCGAAGACCAAGTATACATACAAAGTCATCATACAAACATGTATGTTATGGTTATATCATATTTGTGCATGTGAATCTTTAGCTTGGGATCAACATTATCAAATTTGATCAATCATGATAAATCAAAAGACTACAGTAATACAGTAGAGATGTTTCTTTTGCAACTTTCTCTCATGCCCAGAAGCAGGAAACAGCGACAGCGTCAACATGCGTATTGCACATGCCACTGCAGCAACCCACTTGGCTCGCTCCCCAAGTGCTTCCTGAGGTTGTGCATGCTGCACGGCAAAGAGACAAGATACCTGAGCCGGCACCGGCCGAGCGGTTTTCCATGTAGCGAATATCGTGAGGAACCGGACCAAATTTGTCATTGTATACAGTAATGTGTCACGACCAACCATCCAGGCTTGCAAAACAATCAACACCCCGGCACCCAGGCTTGCAGTTGTGCGTTTAGGGGAGCCACTTTCATTGCTCATTTCACTGATGCTTTGCCACATGTCACTAGTGGGTGGAACGACAGTCCGGTGGTGAAATGCGTGTATAATGGAAGGAGCTGTGGGTGGTGCTTTGCACATCTTTTTACCGTGGTCTTTCTTCAGAATCAAGGCCAATCATCTTTATTCAGAATTCCGCTCTAAGGCGCGGCAACAATTTTGGACTTCCCTCATAGGTCAGCCACGACTCCAAGGCAAAAAACATGTCGACGTGTTGACCCTGTCTGTCTGCACCACATTGAATCAACTCCAGCACCTTCAAGCGCGACATTAGTCGCACTATTAGTCGCATCTAGGAACCCACCCAACCAGTGACTGAGGGGTAAACATTGGTCACCCGATGTCACCCAATGTAAATGTGTTGTCATACAAATTCATCAATTGGAGGTTCATTTAATTCCGCAATATCTTGTCATCTGATGTCATCTGCGCACCCTGATGAACCTTACAAGATCACAAAAGCAGGAGGATGTTTGGGACTCTATGCCAGATCTCGCAGGAAAACCAGCCTCTCTCCTAGACAACATACTGCAGTCTTGAATTCCAAGACCTTCATGAGTGCCCTTGATCCAAAGAAAATCAGAAGATCCTGGAAGCTACCGAGGAACGCCCTGGTGAAAGTCGCAAATCTTGAAGAGCCGCAGGCCCGAGCAACGCTCATCGGCCGAGACCGCGTGGAATCGGCACGCTTGGACCACGGCAAAGGGCGACCAGGCCAGGGACCGCACCGGGCGGCTATCGTTGTATCCTGCAGCATGTGAGGGGAAGTAGACCTGCCAATGTGTTCCTTTTTACGGATAAATGATTCAAGTGTCAGGTTCAAAGCCTTCAGCATAACCTGGATTTTTTTGTTGTGGCACCCATTTGACCACGGTTTTTTTGAGAGAACATGTCATATAGATGTCTGGTGGTTGGTCAGTCCCAAATAGAGGTCGCAGGTTCGAGGCTATTCGTTCCGCCCCTTTGTCCCCCGATGTCCGCACCCACATTCCACCAAGTCTCGAATGCATAGACCATTGATGTGGATCGAGAGCATGACCCTCGACATGTTCCTCGGGCGTAGACCGTATGTCTCGTGAAGGGCGACCCTCGCACCATACGGAGGACCCCACGTGGAGCGGTGACATAGGGGGTTGGAGGTCAAAGGTGGAGAAAAAACTGGGTTGGGCTGAATGGATTGACATATATTGACATGGGTTGTTTGCTTGTCACGGTCCGCCAGTCCGCCCGTCTTGTTGCTTGTTGCGCTCGAAAAAAAACTGACTGACTCACTCGAGAAAGCGTCTGCAGCGGCCGATCTGCGTCTAGACATTGCAAGAACCACACCTGGCCACTCTTCATGGGCGGCTCCTGCTGAGCTGCCGTGATCTGTCTGTCTGTCTGTCTGTCATGTCCTTTTTGTGTGCTGTGCTTCATCGTGGCACATAAGTGCGGGCCCTGGATGGCGTTTTTACATTATGGTCATCAACTCCAAAGAAGGAAATGGTTCTTCAATACATGTTAACGTTAAGCTGATGAGGAACATCTTATTATAGTGATGTGGCACCGACGGTAGGGTGGGCATCCCAAACACGCACTGAACTTCAGCATAGACGCTGGCGTTGATTGATGCCTGGCTCACCTTAACAATGGCAAAGGCTGCCGAAAACAAACACCAGCTACTTGCACCAAAGAATCTTTTCAGATCTATATATTTTATACTTACCCGAGTCTTCACTTCACTTACTTGGATCACCTGCCTCTCCCTCTGATGCCTTCAGAGAAAGACGTCACCCTGCGTCCTGGAGTGGAGCAAGGTCGTCCACCTCAAACGAAGTAACGTCCAGTGTGCAGCTGCCCGCTGTGCCGCCCGCGCTGCCGCCCTCCAAGGTGGGTTGCGCCAGCACCTGCTGAAGGCGCAGCGATGCGGCCCACCCCCCACTCAGAAGGCGGAGAAAAGAAACGCATCCTTTGTTCACCTCTTGTTCTTTAATATGCCTGGGCGAAAGGTTGCTAAAACACACAGGACTCGGACTTCAGGTGAAAAAACACAATGACAAGTATCTCGATATTGTAAATCATATATATTTAACTTGAGGCCGAGGGTAGGTGACGAAAGCTAGCAGGGATGCATCCGTGTCAGTGGAGGCGAAGCATACAGCGCCGTCCAGTGACAAAGGACTGGTGGGACATCAAGCGGAGCGAGGCAAATCTTTTTTCATAGGCATGGGGCTGTTGGAGGATGGTTCACAAGGTCTCGCTCATGAGGTAAAACGTTGTGAACATGTAAGACACACGAACAGCAATGACACAGCCAACCTTAGCTTGTGAATCTGTTGAATCTGTTGCATCGTATCCCAAAACCTCCACGGAGGAGTTCAACCAAAGTGGATGCCATAAGAGGTGTCCAAGAGGTGTCATGCCCAGAGGCGTCCCAGGGGGGAGTTGAACCCGCGGGGGGGGCCCCTCTACATATGAAGTTTTCACGTGATGCGGCGATCTCGAGGATTCCAGCCCCTCACTTGCTAAAGCAAGGACAACTCCAGCTAGCTGGTGCTAGCTTTCCAGAAAAAAAAAACACCAAGTTGAACCCTGGGAACTCCGACCAATTAACAGGTCACCTCTTCGATCGAACAGCTGCTAGAGTTTGAACGGACATTGCTAGAGTCTGAACGGAGGGTATCAGAGTCTGTCCCGGACACCCCATGCTTTGGGGTGCGAGTTGGAGCGACCCCCAACCGGTGACCCGGTTGAGGTGCATGGCTTGGCGTCACGTCACCTCCACGGGGACGAAGTCCGCTGGCTCTTCGCAGCGACACCACCGCAGCATGTGCTTCCACGCGGTGCCCACGTCGCGGGTCGCGCGACGTAGCGCGACCCACGTCGGCCATGTGGGTCGGCGAAAAGGAGTTCATGTGGGTCGGTTCCAGGTCCCCTTTCCCTCGCTTGGTGCAAGACGTGCCGAACACCGAAATGGACGAAATGAGGACCCAGTGGCCCAGTGTCTCTGTTTTGTCAGGTTCAGCTGGACAACTTTCTGAAACTGCGAGGAGTTTGGGGTGTTCCAGTTTCGAGTGGGGAAAGCTGGTTGATGTACGCAAATGTCAGTTTTGCACCCAAAAATCCACCGAAAAGAAGTCCTGCCTCAAATCCTGAAGGCTGTTCGTTTGGCCAAACCTTTTTGACATCTTGGGATGTGAGTCACCAGCCTTAATCGGGGTATGTATATATATATATATGAGTATATAAATGATCATATGACATAGGCATATAGGTATGATCTTCATGACACTTGCATGTTCTGTGACTGTTCCAGTTGACGATCGGCCATGATTCTTCTCCTATCACATCGAGCAAATTTGAACCCAAACTGCAGAGAGTGCGACAAGCAAGGCCCCAACACGTGCAATAGACCCAAATAATCTTTATATATCATTCTGCAATTTCTATTGTGACAACTAGCCACCAGCTGCCTGTCTCAACTGCTCTTGCCGTCGTAGAGCATCAAGCAGGCAGGGGAGACATGGTATATATATATAAATATGATTTACAATCTGGTGACCAGCTATGATCTGGCAGCCAGCGCTGGCAGCTCCTTGGTCATTATTGCCAGTCCGAGATGCCCCAAGAACGAACAAAAGCCGATTCCAGCCCCAGACCAAAACAAACACTTGCTAGAGGCCCAGCTAGCTGGTGCTAGCTTTCACGGGAAAAAGAAAGGAATCAAACACCAAGTTCCGCCCGCCGCCCGAAATACCGCTTTGGCGGCCCAGCTGCGTGAAACAGGTAGTCTTCGATGATTTCCCCAGTCCAGAAGCTCCGATTGTTCAGCAAGTCCTGGGGACTGGGATGGACAATCCGCGCCGGACACCGACGACAGTGACGAGACGGAGTTCAGCAGTGTGAAGTGGTGCCGCCTTTTGCGGATGAATCAGCTGCGAGCAGTTTTTGGCCACTTCATGTATAAGTGGTGTTAACTGCCACTGTTAGGGGTCTATGTAGTGTTTAGGAAGTATTCCGCATACTGTACATGGACCGATTAGACTACAAATAATTAAATGTTTTTGTCTGTCAGGCAGGTGATGAACCCAACTATATCGATTACAATCAAGACTGGTCCATGCTGCTCTGCACTGCAATCAAGGACTGAAATATCCAAGTGTTACTCTGTTACTATATGCTATTGTACTTGTTCGGCTCTGATTGCTGCAGTTGTTGTTGTTGCTGCTGCTGCTGCAGCGAAAACTACCACTGACAGGGTCCCAGTCTTATATATTTGTTTCTCGGATGCGCTGGTAGGGTTCTTATAAACAGCCAATCCAGTAGCAGTACTCATATTCAAGTAGTTGTTGTCGTCCGTTTTCAGTCCCATGACCGTTCGCCTGGCGAAGGTAGCCAGGATATGCTCGGGGCGTCCAGTCAAAGCCAAAGCTGATTAGATCCTTGGATTGCTGTCAGTGACCTGTGCAAAAAGAACAAACAATGCTTATAACTCTGTGCAAGAACGCTCCTGCAGCTCCAATATCGCAAGGGGACCTCATTCCCAGAGTGGGAAAAAACATGGTGGACAAAAACATTGGCCATGGGTCAAAACAAAACTCACCCCACAAATGAAGAACGGTTCTCATTTTCCAAAGAATATAGAGGAATCTGCCTTTTCTATGGGTCAACTGGCATCTTGACCCACAGCCATCTCACAATCTCCCTCCCAAGGATCCAACTTCTCTGGATGGAACCTCTCGCTCGCCTGACGTCTGGCTGAACCGGGGAAAAAATACGTTGGTAGAGGCTCTTCAGGTGAGCCACAGGCTTCCACCTGGTAGAACCCCCTTGATTCTTGATAATACCTACTTCGGACTGTAGTTGCCATGACAACCCATACAAAACAATGGGGTTGGGGCCGCTCAGGTGAAATATGGAACATCTTAAACGTCTTAAACCTGAGGAACCTTGAGCAATCCATGATGGTCTCCATATGACAAAAGCTGCGACCCTACAACTTTGGACACGATGTGGACGGCTGGTCAAATCATAGAAGTCTTCTGGGATGTACGAGTGTCTCAAGTGTCTCAAGAGTTAGGTCGTTAACTATATACTATATCCTTCAATGTCAGTGACAGTGAGTTATCCCCATGGCATGCGCACACCTCCATGCCGAAAAGGGAGGCTCCGGTGCAGGTCAGCAAAAGCAGGAACAATGGTGCCAATAGCAAGAAGACCTTGGTCGTGAGATTTGGAGATTCAAACCAAGCAGGCCCACCTGCTCAATCCCCCGACTAAAACATTCAATGGCGCTTGCTCAAGTCCATATTGGCACCATCTGGAAGCAAACTCCCACCAACGGCCCCAAGCACCGTACGGAATAGGGGGGACAAAGAAAGCTTTGTTTGTTCATTGCATTCAAAGGTTAACTCTGTGAAGTATAAGTAATTCTAATTGAACTGTTACTCAATGCAATGATCCAAACAGCAACAATAAGAAAAACAACCTCACACGCTCACAAGAGCGTAAGCAAAGACCAAATAAGCTACACAACCCGGCACACAGAAGTGTTCACTGGGAAAGCTGGCTTTCATCCTTGAGTGGGGTGCGACTACTCAAACCGTTCCAAAAAGCAGTCCACCAAGCGTTCCTTGATCAACTGTCGGACTCATCTAGCGGCATTCTGACACATATGTGACAGGGCTCCCGGAATTAAGTGGATCGTTCAGTCTTTGGTTCTGGAAAAACACCGAAACAACGTGTGGGAGTGGGATTGCAATTTTTGAAAAGGGCAATCGACTGCTTGTTGCACAGCCAGGTCATGTTCGTGAGACTTCTGGGGCTCTTCGATTCAGGGTGAATCTTGCTCGGATGTTCCGGACACTCCGAACCGCTCAATGAAGCACTGTCTGTTCATAAAGTGACTCCGGAAAAGCAAGTGTCATATAGTATCATTAAGTATCATATATATATATATATTCCTATATTATATGACTGCTTACATGCTCTTCATAGATTGCTTCATGTTGTTTCTATATGAATCATACTCCGGCCGCAGCATGCTTACTCTTTCGTCCCACCGCCCACCGCTATCTCAAAATCAAGCCCCACCACGCACACATCCAAGGGACCAAGAGCGAATAAATCACAAAGCTCACTGCATTGTTCCTCAGCTGTGAAGATCTGCCCTATCCATCACTCATAACCCCCTAGGGCTCCAACTACCTACTCACAAGGTGGTTGGGGTAGTAGGCTTTTGGGGTCTAGCTACCTTCTGCATGAGCATGTGATTGGAGTCCTAGGGAACAGTGACCCGGATGCGTCTCACCATGCTGCTTCCGATGAAGTCTGCACCAAGCTCCTACTAAATAAAGGATAGCTGCGGCCTTCAGTAGACAGAAAAATGGAAAAAGGGAAACCAACCACCCCGGGTTTGGCATGGGCACCCTCCACCCTGCACAGCATCATCCAGCCGACCCAGAGCTGTCGGCGTTCTGAACGTTTCTGAACAACATGTGTCTTTCAAGGAGTCATTGTCCACTTCCGTCCAAGATTATTGTTGGATAAAGGGCAGGGTCAATGAATTGCAACTGGAACCTGTAAACACCATGACTTGACATGCAACGCGTCAACATGACCTGTGGCTGTGGGTCAAAACCAGGAGACCGACCGGTTACCGACTCGACCTTTCCAGCCGACGTGACCTGGAAACGCTTCGGGCAAACATAAAACATCACGCAGCTTCACGTGGTTCATGTATGAAAGTTCAGCCACAGGAACATCATACACTAATTTAATGTAGACTCTTGATGAATAAACCCCGCATATGCCGAGATTCTACAATCCACTTGGGGGTGTTATCAATCAAAATGCTATTCTAGGGGGCCGAATCAACAGCTTCCACCACTGAAGGAAGGTCTTTCTCGCATCCCTCTTTGACGTCTTGCCTGGTATGGTTTTCGGTCCCAAGGCTCCAATACCAGGCTTGATTGGCCTCCGGCGTGTCATTCCAGCGGATGAAGACCGGATCCGGAGGAAGGTTCATACCATAGGTCTCAGCAGCCATCCGTGCAGCCGCCATGTACTGCGGCAGCTCGCCTGTGACTGGAGAAGGGAAAGGTCGCAAGTTCGTTGGGAGGCGAATCCCGAGCGTTTGACCCACTTCGATACGTCTCCGACATGACAAGTCATGTCAAAATAAAGCGCTTTCTGCCGTGTATCCGGGTGTCACCAAAGGCATACACTCCCCGAAATAGTCATGGAAGTGGGTAAGCACCTGTTTGTAGAGGAAAAGGGTAACCCAAAGCGCCATGCCATCCACTTCCACCTTTGTCTTGGTGCCCAAATGGTGCTTCATTCAAGCGTCAAAACATCGACGTACAAGTCGCGGCCTTTAAGTATTGGACTGGCGTCTCGGATCACCACACCACTGCGGACGCTTTGGTTCCTGAGTCCAGATGGCTGGCAGGGCCAGGGCTGAGTGAGGTTTCCACATGTCCCGGAGAGCGTTCCCAGAATTGGACCAAAAGTGCATAGCGTTAACGACGAAAAGTGCATAAACGAACCCGTAGTGGGCGGCTCCTTTGTTGGCTGCCTTTGCGGCTGGGAACACATAGCACCGCCAGGGCTCATAGCATCGCCACAATTGAACCAAGCTCTCATCCGGCAGCAGTCCTTGCCCACGGCCCAATAGCTGGCAGAGGTCACGGAATCGTTCTGCACCTCGACCGCCGTTGAAGACGGACACTTCGTGTGAGCTTTGCAGAGAAATATCAGGCTGGGTCCACAACCCTTGGTGAAAGCTCCCCGCGGCCAAGCCCCAGTGGTGGATCTGCTGCAGTGGCACCGTCCATCTGCTGCCCATGTGTTGGAATTTGGACACAGACTAAGATATATATACCGTAAATAAGATCGTATATATATAATATATTACTACCTAGAGCTCGCCAACATGCAATCACTGAAACGTTTTTTCTACAACAGTGTTTAAGATTCCATCCATCGACCCACCCTCCAACGCCAGTCTTTTCTTTGTTTTTTGATCCCCCTTGACTGGGGCAACATCCTGCCAGAACTCCATCTTATAGAGAATACCGTCTATAAAATGATATGACCATCATATTTCTCTATAAAATGAAGAACCAACCTTTCTATAAAATGGGTAGCCATGTCCAGGCCCATCCACGACAAAGAGGTTAGAGGCCAAGCCTGGGATCTATAAAATGGGTTGACCTTGAGTTGATATCCTCATATCATTTGAAGCAGCTGACTTCTATAAAATGACTTTGCCACAGCAGGTTTGGTCAGCGTATGCTTCACTTTTCATGTTTTATCTCTGTCCTTTTTGTTCGTCGCTCCTGCAGTCTTCTTCTTAGAACCATCCATATTTTTTTTGTTTTTTATTGTTTTTTTTTTCTTAACAAAATATGACAAAATGTTCTCCAGTCTGATTTGTCCAGGCTTGCGTCTTCGAGCCAGCGAAACAATATCCCCCCTCTACTCTATGAAATGATGTTGCCTCCTCTTATGTCCGTTATCGGAACGGACCATTTCTATAAAGTGAGCCTCCTTATCCCATTTCATAGTGGAAACAGATGCTCATTTTATAGAGGACCGGACCAATCATGGGGGATGTTTTTTGGGGGCCAGTGCCGACCATATGGCCCACCCCGTAAGAGAGCACATCTGTCAACATCAGGGCAAAAACGGGGCAGCGTGGTGAATTGACGAGAATGTTGACCAAGTCATGCAACTTCATCTCGGCCGTTCCCGGATTCACCAGAAAGGGTTCCAGTGATTTCTCTCCAAAGGGCGACCGGCGCAGCGCACCAAAGGGCTCCGGAGACGAAGCCAACCCCACGCGTGCTGTCCACATGGGTGCCATCTTGGAATCGAAGGAAGCCTGGCCCAGGAGCTGGGGCGTCTAGCGCAGCTGGGATGAAGCACAGGATCCAGTGGCAGAACTACCTGCGGGTCTTTTTAAAACAAATTAAGACATCCAGGAAAGTATGTGAGAATGCACCAAAGCGAGCATCCATATATATATATATATATCAATATGCAATGTGCCTGCGCATATCCCAACAAAGAACAATGTGGATGATGAATGGATGATGAGTCCATTATCAATGATGAAACTTTTCTTGATGAGTCACACCCCAACAGCTTGGGAACTGTGATGCTAACTGTTTTGATTGTGAAAGAAGTGCACATGACCCGGTTGAGCGAGAGGATTGCCTTCCATGTTCAGAAAGCCCAATCAATCAAGAGAAAGCCTCTCTGTTTTGACACCCAATCGCCAAGAAGAAATGGGTTCTGAATGCGGCAACCACAATTAAGGTAAACAGTAGCTTTTGTCATAGAAACCAGTGGAAAGGACAACAAGCAAGTTCAGAGTTTAGTGCCAGTTCATGTCGGTCCGCTCCATGATTGAAAGTCTAAGTATGTCTGAGTGGGTCTACCAAACACTGGACAAACATGAAGCACCATGAAACGTGACCATTGACATTTCTTGGCTGATCACTTCACCCCTGAGGATCTGGCCTGCATCTCCCACGGACCCGGGCTTTGAAGTGAGGTCCACTGACAAATAGCTAGGGCTTCGCTCATAGAAATGGAAGGGGTACAAGTACTTGGCCTCGTCATAGAGCCTCGCTGGTCGATGCGGAGCGATCCTGGATCCCCCTTCAAACCAGCCTAGCAAAGCAGAGCTGACGTCTTGTGGTGATTCTTGGTACCACTGGAGTGCCAAAGTAAAACTATAGCCTTACTGGTACCTCTTGCTAAACATGTAGCTCACTGGACTTTCCCCTGCTACTCGAGCTGTGGAGGAACAAAGGATGCTTGCGTTGCGCTGGACTGGTGCAAGGCTGTTTTGGATTTGTTGCATGAGGATGCACTAGCACTTTGAGACGGGGACGGGGTCACACAACAAAGCCATCTCAAGGCTCAAGAGCGCGTGTTTTCCTGGGGTGTGCCGAAAAGCGTGAGAGAGAAGAGAGAGGGAGAGAGAGAGAGAGAGGGAGAGAGATATATAACCCAACACCAAGCTTGTCACTTCTCAATCCTGGCCTCTCAGTTGAGAATTCACAGAATGGACCACCTGCCAGGGTGATGAACCAGGGCTCCGGGACCGCCACCGGTCCAGGCTTCGTTCGTTCGCTCCAAGTGGCCCCATGCCCCAGCCCACGGCGGTCACACCCATGCACACGAAGCTTAGAACCTTCCATGCTGGCGCCCTGGAAAACCTGAGGCGCCCAGGTTTGCGACGCGTGCAGAGCTCCGGAGGAGCTCCTTCAAGGGAGGAGCCTATGCTTGGTATCTCTGGACTGCACGTCCCAAGGTTGGATGCTCATGTGGGTAGCACTTGAGATTGCCTCATTACTGAGCCGCCTCCATCATGGTGGTCCAACATGGTCCAACACCCAAAATCTGGACTGCAAGAAACAATGCAGCGTGGTATTCTAAGGCCTATACCTTGAGCCTGCCCCGAATCAAACCCACGTTAAGCACGGTAAGTGATGGTGCAAATCGCACCAACGCCCACAACAATGCCTGCCGGAAAACACCAGGAATCCAATCGAAAGGAGCCCGCTGGCCGAAAGAGCTAAAATGCAAAGGGTTGATCCCTGAACCAGGGCAGTGGAGAGAAGCACCATACCTGGGCCGCATGAAGCCATTCCCTTCCCCGAAGCCGATGACCAGCGGGTAGCGATGCGCTGTACAACGCCCGGGTGGTGTCTCACTTGGCTGTTTCTAAGCTCGTTCATTCTTGATCAGGTTGGGGGGGTAAAATCCATAGTGTAACAGTGTGACATCGAAAGGTTGGGTGAGTCCTGCGACGCCCGTGAGTCGCAACCAAAAAGGACCTGAAGCTGGTAGTGAATGGGAGCCTAAATGTCTTCTAGGAGTGTGCCATACTATACCCTTAGCGCACGAAGAGTTGTGTACAAGGTGGGCCTGGAAAATGCGGTCTCCGGAGAAAAAGGCCGTGCAAACACGCCAAAGAGATTGCCATGAGCACCCAAATCACAAGCCTTGAAGGCTTTGAAGAGGCGATCTTCCATCGGTTTTTCCATGCGATGCCCTGCGCGGAACTCGCATTGACTGCTGCTGAAGCTCCAAAGAGAAACCACGGAAGGAGCAAGGGTGGTAAGTCTTTCCATGACCTCATCGGCAGCGAATCGGGCAGCCGAGTTTCGGGGGAGACGGGAAGATGCCCTGTGACTGTTCGGTGCTGCATGTGACCAAAACGGGTGTGACTGTCGTTGAAATGAGGATCTTCAGGTTAAAAGTAGTGCAGTTTAGTGTGCATTTTTTGTGCATTCTTGCGCAAGTGAAACAAGATTAAGCAAGCAAATTGGCTGTTCAACACGATGTCGCTGTGCAGCAATTCTTGGACATGTTAGTGATGACTGGTCATTTCGATAGAAGTCCGCTTGACCCCGCTCCAGCACATGCTCCGACCGCCCCGGCTGTGCTCACGCTGAGGGACGGCTTGGCCCGCTGTTTGGCGCGTTCCTCCTCTGTGACGATCCCGCCTGCGGATGGCTGGTTCCAGGACATGCTTTCGTTTTGGATGAGTGACTGACTTCATGTCATTCGTCCTCGTTTCTTTTCTCCTGTTCTCCGTGGCCTTCAGACCAATGGTCTGACCACAAATCTGTCCCCTCCCCGAATTTCAATCGGCCTTGCTGTGTTGGGAAGGCCCCATCATTATTAATCTCTCTCTCTCTCTCTCTCCATCTCCATCGCCATCTGCAAAGTCTGTTCAGCGAGGCTGAAGGCGAAACATCATTACTGATAATAGGTTGTTCTATGTTCTTGATTTATGTTGCTTCTTGTTTCCTTGAAGCCTCCAAGTCAGCAAGGAGAGGGAACAACAGTTGACAAAACAACTACATAATGACCACCAAAAGAAACCATCAATGGATGGCCCCTCAAAAAAGCCATCTTTGGCAGGTCATGACGGCCGTGAAGGACTCGTCGCCCCTGAATCCTCCACAGCTCCAGCTCCAGTGGTAAGAGGCATTTGGAAAAATAGTTACAGTTCTTCTGCCTTTTGCAAAGGGAAGGGCCAAGGAACCTTCTGATTTGTGCATAGATCACGAAACAACTGCTGCACGGGCCACGGGCTCTCTTGGAGCTTCAGGCAATGAGTTGTAATGTGGGCGAGTGAACACAAAGGGTCCGAGGTCCCAAACCCAGCATGAACGGGGTTCCTTTAAGCCGGAGGTCGGTCTACTTGCCCCAAACTGCAACCGCAAGCAAACCTGGTGTGGATTTCATGCTCCAAACCGCGGGTTCCGTATGACTCCGTCAGACACGTGTTTTGGGGGGATGGGATGGGACATTGCCAAACTGCAGTTTTCTTCTGCGGCGCCTTTCTTTCCATTCTCACCAGACTCCACAGCGCCATAGTCCGCCGGCGCTGGCCCACCTGCGCGGAGAGGACGGAAGGTCGCAGTCTGGAATGGCTCGTGTGGAAGTGGATCGCTTTGAAGCCATGCAAGACAATAAACAATACAACCAAACAAATAACATCATTAAATAAGTAATTATAGAAATTTAACCCTTGTGGCTCCGTCCAGCACAAAGGTGCCACCTGGATGTTGCTGGGTAAGAGGTGATAAAGTGATAAACCAGCCAACAAGTTACATTGCTCTGGGCATGCAGTTCTACGATTGGAATGATAAGTAGCATGCTCAAACACCTGGAACCAGCAATAGAATCATGAATTAGAAGACCATATGTCAAGACCAGTGTATTCAAAAATACTGCATCATACTGCATCATAGGTACTGCTCATCATAGGGAGGGAAGTAGCCCTCCGGCTTCCTCAGCCCCCTTGCGAACCCTTCCGTTCGGCCTTGGCCTTTCATGAGGTTGAATGGCTGGGGCTGATATGAATGTCCACTACCAGGCTGCGGGCTCTCAGAGAATTTTCCGAAAGCCTCGGGTCCCAAAGAGGGTTTGGCTACAGGAGGTCTGTAGCATCTCGAGCCAATGTCGCGGGCACGTAAACGCAAATCAACGTTGGCCAAGCACCAAAGATCGATGTTGCCTTTGAGGTCTTCTCGCCCTTGCAAACTGCCACAAGTCGTGTCAACACGCACGAACCCAGTAACACCAAAAGAACTGGTCGTTTGACTGCTTTGGACAAGCATAAGCATCCGATAGTATTTAAGGCAGTGGAAGTTGCCGTCAAATTCGGTCAATCTTTGCCAAAGCCGGGCATAGGCGTTTGTGTGAGCCTATCTCGTAATGACAGAGTCAGAGTGGCTACATTGCCACATGTTGTCCACAACCCCTTAGATTCAAACTGAAGCGGAGTGGCTTGAGCAAAAAAATATTCTAGGTCTAGGGATCTAGAAGGCCCTACAAGCCGCTTGTTAAGCCGGGCCTTAACCTTTATTGACTTCTGTGACCTGGCCCGTGGCCGAAATAATGCCTGCCTTTGCCCAGGGCGGACGCGCACCGGCTGGGACCGTCGGTGAGGCGGCCTTAGACCGGCGCGTTGGAGAAAGTCGAAGACCACATGAGCTGCGATCAGCGAACATCATCCGTCTGTTGATCTCTATATCGACTCAATCCAATATATCCATGCAAATGGTGGCTGTCTTTCTTGTGAATACCCCCCATTGGAAAATACAAGTTTCCCCTTTCCCTGGCCACCTGCCGTGCAGGTTCACAATCATCACAGATTAAGTGTGATCTTCTATAATTCCCAGCCATTGAACCAAAGGTCGGGGAAAGCGCCCAACTCCCGGCCCGCGTGCGGCGACCAACTCACCCGGCGCCCCCAAACGGCGCCCAACCGCTGAGGGAGCCCAACGCTCCCAAAGGGAGCAGAGGCCTCCGCCACGGTGAGCGAGCCCAAACCGTGGAGGGAGGGTATATGCTAAAAAGAGGTATATACAGGAACAAGCTACCAGGAACAAGTGCATCGCTACTAGTAACAAGGGCCTTACTAGTAGTAACAAGAAGCTATTAGAAGCTATTGGAAGCCATCCACAGTTTGGATCTTCAGGTAGCTTCTATAAAGCTTCTAGTAAGATTGAGTAGAATCAAATTAAAATTAGTGAACAGCTAAAACATGCTAAAAAGATGTATATAAAGGAGCATGACAAGAACACAACATATACACATCATGGACCTGGATGCCAAGGGGATTCCGCGCCGGGATGGTTTTCTATCCTTGGATTCGAGACAAGCATGGATTTGCCCTGGGACGGCGAACTTGGATCCATTCCGAAGAAGAGACTTGAGTGATACCTTGGCTTTACTGCCGGCCGTGACCACCCATTGACTTGAATTCCCTCCGTGTCCTTTTTCCGCCTGTTCATCTTCTTTTGGGTGATTTTAGCGTGGCCACCAATGCCCCCCAAAAGGTTGAGTTATCTACTGACCAGGTATAGGATGGTGTAGGCAGTTGATGTCGTGTGCTCATGGTGTGTTCAGCGACGAGAGCGTGTGATAGCGTGTGCCTGAGTGATAGTGAGAACAAGTGCCCAGCTGCAATCCAGTGAGTTGCTCGTGGCTCGGTTGAGGAAGTGAGGTTTCGCCCGTCTGGGAGGTGGCAAACGGGAGCCCGTCTTGGAGGTGGATCTGTTGATTGTTTGGATCCGTTCATTGATTGTTTGGTCCAGTCAGACAGTGGATCTGCGATTGTTTGGAGGTGACCTGAAGGACAAAAAAGAACAGGATGGACGGAACGATTCGTTCATGTGCGGATCGGAAAAAATACATGAGGCACCATCTGCGGTTCCCGCTGGCCTTGGCTGCAGCCTGGCGGTACTGGCGGTGTGGTGGCTGAATCTGCTGTCCAACGGACCAGGTTGTGATGGACTGGATGATGTCTCTAATTAAACCTCTTAGAGTCTTCTATTCCAAATATTCTTATTACACTCCCTGAAACAAACATGAAAGTGGAACGTTGTTTGAGGGAGGGTAGCTGTTTGAGGGGGACCAACAATGGCGGACCAACACTTGGCCATGGCGTTGTCCGCGCAGGGAGCGTCAATAGATCTGGCTTGCTTGGACTAGATGACCGGTGTTGCCCAAAATGGAAAGAAACCGTTGGGTGGAACCAAATCGGGTCAGCTGGGACCTTCCGTCAGAAAAACCTGGGAACAAGACCGCCCACTCCAAGGGGCAGCGGGTCCAGTGGCTCTGCGCCAGACGAACCCGCTAAACACAAACAACTTCCAGCCCCATTATGTATCTCTTGTGTCCAGGGGTGGGTCTTCTACAATATCTCTGGTGGCACTCACAGCCTCAGCGGCTAAACCAAACACGCTCTGGGCCGCTCCGCGCCTTTGCGACGGGCCGCTCAGAAGCTGTCTCGCCAGTTTCTGGGCAGGTTTCGGTGCCAGTTTCGACCGAAGATTTCGAGAAGGATGGCGCCAACTGCACAGTGCCAGCTGTGAACCTAGCATATTGGAATCATCCTAGCATATAGGCTTGAACAATACTTATATAATCATACTTAATCATACTTGATACCATCCAAGGAAGGATTCAAACCCCTGGTCAAAATACAGCCCGAGTGTCATCATGTCTGTAAGGATCTGCACTACCGATGATCTTTGCACACACGGCGACCAACGCAAACTCCGGTGACCAACGCAAATGGCACACGTGACAGTCTCTGAAAATCCTGACCATGACAGTCTATGAAAATTCATGTCCATGGCCCATGACAGTCCTGACCTTGGTGCTGCAATTGAACATACAAATGATATGTATATAACATTTCCTCCAATATATATAAGAGGAGTACAGCGGGCACAAAGGAGTACAGCGGGCACAACGCTTCACTACATGCTGCAATCTTTGTCTGATTCCCGATGCTTGCTTAATCTGCAGCCGCCAGACCTTCACTACAAAAACTGATCAACTGAGGCTTTGGGCGAGCGCAAAGTAAGTGGTGTCGCCCAGAAATCTGGACCGTGATGCTGCGGACGAAGGCAACGGTCACTGAGTGTCCAACTCTGGTTGCGGAAGATCGTCTCACCCTCTTCAGTTTTCTCCTCGACCCAATCAGAGGCCTCTCACAGGCTGTGTTTCTTCTTTTTGAGCGGGCTCTTCAGAAAATCCTGTTGCCTAAAAGAACTCAGAGCTACACCTGAAACACTAGCAGGATAACTATATAGTGATGCAGTGTAAGCAAACAAAGAACATCTGCACTAGTACTGTATTTTCCTCTTGTTTGGGACGGGGCTCTGCAAAATCAGCCGGGGTGCAACAATTATGCCCTCAGCCTCTATGCTAAATCTTTGAACATCCTGGAGTGTAATCTCTAGGCAGGCCTTCGGAGGCATATACATTTAGTAAATGTCAATAAGAGTCTTTGTCAGTTGTCCTTTTGCCTTCCTACTCTCCTGCGGCTTTGTGGCTCCGTGTGCTTCCCAGGCGACACCTTGTGGTTCCTCACTCCATCCCGAAAGCCAACTAGCACGAACAGTGTCACCCCAGTATATAGACATAGACCCCCAAATAGATAGAAAAGTAGATCCCCACTACAAATGTATTGGAAACTGTGCCACTATCTATTTGGGGATCACAGGTGATGCACCAACTATCTCACAAAAGCACATCTTGCAGCGACGCTGTTCACAGCACCTCACTGGCCTCACTGGCACCTGGGTGCGAAGGCTCGGGTGGTGAGAGACTCCATGGCATTGGAGGAGGGGTCAGACCGTTCCCGCAAAGCTCGTAACCGTGAGATCTCCAATACTCTCGTGCCTTTCTTTTTGCCCACCAAAAAGCACGTAAGGCTTCAGATCTGTTGTCTTTCGTGCGGCACAAAAGGACTTCTGAGGCTTATAGCATGCGTCTTCGAAATGTACTGAACATCGGCGAGGCCGAGGCCACCCAGCCGAAGAGATAATTACGCGGCCGGACGAACAACAGTTTCTCCAGGACAGGGGCAATCTCAACGAAATTGAATGCCCTCCACTGAAGATGCGCGCAGCATTGCTGAAAGTAGGAGCTCGTTGTGCGGATCATTTTCTGCAAATGATGAGTGCTGGAAGGTTCTTTGGCAATGGACTGGTTTCGAGTTAATGCCTGAAGCGCTGTGGCTAGTATATACAGGTTGACGTTCTCCAAGCAGGTAGCCAAAGCCACCTTTGGCAGGTGTTTCATGCATGCTGCATACATGCTCCTGGTCAGGTGTGCCTTCAGTCTCCCTCTCCAGGAACGCGCATTCCAACGGTACCATGCGTCTCTTGGGCCCCCAGACGACGCTTCTCGGCGGCTTTCTGCTCCGCCTGCGCCTCAGAAGCTGGGGGAAGGAAAGGTCACAAACATGGAGACACACATGGATACACACACACATATATATAGAGAGAGAGAGGCAGGCCCAAATAGATAGAAAAACAAAACTATATTCAACATTTATTGGACATCGTTTCTATATGTACTTTTTCTTTGGGGGACCACTATGCACGCATATGACACTTGGGATATATGTTGGGTCTATCCGTGATGGTTAGTGAAGGCCTTGTTCAAAAAGAGTGGTATCTTACAATTGATTACTGACTGTTACAGGTAATAAGACAGACCCAAGATACACGCATATGACACTTGTTTTGTATAATGTCTGTTCCAATTGCTACGCGTCCATCAACTTCGACTGGTCAAACAATACGGTGCATACGGTGCCGTGCTCTTCTCTTAAAATGTTTGGCCCCTGGCATAGGTCAACCTGTCTATTCCTGTTTTTTGCCTTCCAAATGCAGTCTCGCATGCCAAACCATTTCTGGAAAGTCCATGCCACATTGGCCGCTGCAAACGGCATCGGTCTTCGATCATGGCGCTGACTATGTACATGTGGGAGCAAAACCAAGCATAATTATATATAAATCATTCCAATGGCCCGCGTGCAGTTCGGTCTGCATACAAGGCCGCATTGGAATTTTGGATCCTCAAGTCCTTCACCAGCACCTTCCATTCTCCATGCTCTTGTGATCTTCGGATATCGTTAGAACCTCCTACAATAAGCAACTCAAATTGGGAAGCGCTGAGAATTACTGGCCCAACTAATTCCTATCAAGAAATTGTTCGTTGCTGGTGTCATCGACCTGGATCAATGCTCACAACTCGCTGTGCATCTTTTTGCGGCTCATCCGCGCCAAGTGCTGCGCTGACCTCTCTGCCATTTCTTCTGACCAGGCCTTGCTGCTGAAATTCCATCAAACTTGGAAACTCCCCTCCCCTGCTGTGAGAGCTACCCGTCGCCTTGAAGTCTTTCGTCGCCTTAGGCATGCAGCTGCTCTTGGCTTTGGAGAACTGACATGGGTCCACATACCTGAGCCAGTGGGGCGGCAAGGCGTCGGACCATATCTTCCCAGCGTTCACAGGAATGTCCTATGACAAACGAGGAAGTGGGTGACTTGCGAGGTGTTTCTTGGTTATATGGAAGTGGGTCAAGGTTGGGGGGACCCTGGTTGACCACTTTTCACATGAACAAATTGGGTGTCCACCGAAACCATGGTTGGTAGAGTGAGGGACCCACTGCCGCTGTCAGTCGTGTAACATCCATGCAATCCAGTCACACAACATCTGTGGCCATGCGCCACAAAAAACCCTGGCATCTGCGTCTGCAAACATTTAGATCATGGATCTGGCACTGGTGAACCATGAAGACCAGGGAGATGGGTTGGGGGCAGGGGATCAGTGGTCTATCTTATATGTGTATATATATATATGTGTGTGTGTGCGGGTGTGTGTGTGATGTCGTTATATCGTATCACGGCTTAGCCAAAAAGTATGGACACTAGGAACGACATGGACACAGGGGGGCCAAGTAGAACTGCCAAGAACAAAAACTGTCCTCCTCCAAAGCGATCACTTTTGACAAGAATGCCACAACATCAAACCACAGTGGTAGTGGTAGTAGTATAGAATGATATACAGTAATGAGTACTAACGATCGTGGGATTCTCTCTGAATGCCCGGGAAACCCTTACAGCAAATGGGGACCTCCAGCCCGTGCAAGCGTCCCAAAAGTGCTAGTTTGAATAAGCTGTTACTGTAAGTGACCAAAAGCGATCAAAACACTTGGATGGCAAACAATTTGCAGGCATACGGCGGCCCAAAATGCGGCCACGATCGGCCACAACCCTCTGACTTGTTTGCCAGGTGCCAGCCCTGCAAGGTGAACCGTCTACCAGGACCAGGCTTGACAGGAGCAACAGCATGGTAGCTGTTCCTCAGGCTGCAGTCTTTCGTGAGCTATGATTGTTACCTTCCCTCAAACCATCATGGACTGAACGACACCGTCAATGAACGGGAAGAGACGATGCTCGGACCGGCACCCCGAAAGGATCTCATTGAGCCTGGAACATGTAAACCAGGCTACCTTTTGAAGCGTCTGGCAGTGCTGATGGCTACCCCCTAACGGTCAAGTTTTGGTTGGACCGTCCGCAGTTGCTGAAGCCACCTCTGAAAGTATCCATCGGCTAAAGCAAAACATGCAAAAGCTTTTCTTGGCCCATTCCTAACATCTCCCGCAACGAGCAAATTATATATTATATATCATTGTAAATATACGATAGCGTCGGACGAAATCTGGTATCTAGCCTAAGGACATTGCCTAGAATGGTCGGCCCCCATCGGTTATGGAGGTTGGCAGGGCTGGCTGCAAAGCAGGCCCACTTGTTACCCTCAGCAAGTTTTGAGCTTTGTTGGCAATCATCAAGCTTGCTATAGTTGTCATAGTTTGGCACGCCAAAAGGGAGGGCACGAATTGAATGCAGCAGTGTAGTGGTTGTACAAGTTGTGGATGAGTTGCTCTTCCGTGGGGCAAACATGTTCACTGTGCAGTGGTTGTACAAGTTTTGGGGAAGGCCATTATGGACAAAAGCATGTTCAAAGTGGGCATCGGTTGGGGCATCGGTCAGGCACTGCGGTGAGAAAGTGGTTCATTGGCTGGAAATTTAAGTCTTGCAGCACATTCTGGTACATTGGTGTAAGTAAACAACTCAAACTCGGAAGTGCACCAAGTGATTGCGCCAGCTACAAATGTAGCGTGGCAGCGTGCTTCCTTAAGCGGTTGGTACATCGAAAGGGCATCGGTAGACGGGTCGGCCCCCATCGGTTATCGAAGAAACAAGATCTTTCCACCATTCTGATGCTTTCAGTTTCTATACTTTGACCTTTCAGATCCGACTTCAGTCTGCCAGTCTTGGACCTCCTGAAATCGCCACCCGCTTTCCGACCGAATAAAGCGCCTGTAGACCGGGAACAGCACCGCCACGTTGTAGCCAGGCACCAACGAGGTTCCGTTCCTGGAGACGTTGAAGCTCCGATGGAAGTGCGGCCGATCAGGCACCTGGCGAGGCCACGTGGGAGAAGCAAGTGGTCGGCCTGTTGGTGTTTCGATCCCACCCGGAAGGTGGGCTCAAGTGGTACACCCCGCTTGGTCATCGTGGGAAAGGGAAGAGTGCTTGGTCATCTTGGGCTCTGGTTGGCTCTGGGCAATGCTTTGAGGAAGACTGGTTGAGTCGGGCCGATGAATGCCCATCTACCCAATCCTTACAATGGAGGTGAAACGATCACTGGAGCTTCGAGTTTCAGCCGATCCGTCCCGCACTCACAAGCGAATTGCACGCAACGATAGGACGCTCAAGATCGCTCAAGTGTGAGCCCAGTCTTCAGAACTCTGAAGCCCAAAATAACTTCAAGTGAGAGCCATCAACAATGCTAAATCACATCTGAAGCTGAAATTGCTTCTGATGGTCCATTCATTTTCCTAACGTTACAAAAGCGCCCCACTTTCTGGTGTGTATTGCATAGGTCGAAGGCCCAACCCAACCAAACATACACACCCAACTGTTCCAACAAAGGCAACGTAGTCACGTCCCGACCGGATCGGTCGAAGGCGAGCCAAACTGTACACGTGGCTCGATGAAACGGGGATTTGACTTTAAGAAATCCACGTCTGAAACGCATGGGGCTAGGGTGTGCTGGAGTGTCAAAGTGATCTTAGATTTGACATCCAAAACAGTGTTCATAGTACAAGCATGGTCGACACGAGAACATATATGGAGCTCGCAGCATGGTGGTTTGAATGGGAACGGTGCTGGATACATGTCTAGAGTGGGCCCTTCACTATTTGATCAGCTTGGGAAAAAACACACACACACACATATATATATATATATATGTATAGAGAGAGAGAGAGCATCAATTATACAGTTGTTTTGGAGCCAATGTGGACCAATACCTGAGTTCCGAATCCGTTGAGGCTATAGGTTTAGAGGATCCACCAGCAGCTTGCCCCATCAGCTTTGAGACGGCTTCAAATTCTTCTGTGGAGGTTCTACTCTCCAGACATAATCACATCAGAATCCATCAGCTGTGGAGCTGCTGCTTTGATGCGCGCGTGACAGGAGTCTTTGATCATCGCGGCCACTGGCTGCTGGTGGACCGTGGATGCGATAATCAAGCTGGAACATTCGACCTGCGAAGGATTTGTTCAATCAAATTTATTCAAATTTCAGCACAAGCAAGCTGGCGCTTTCAGCATGGGGTAGGAATCCAACAAAAGTATACCGCTTTCAAGGGACGTGGAAAATAGTTCGGGATTCGGACCACTGCCACGATCTCAAAATACCTCCCAGCTTCTGCATCCTATCAATCATATCAATGACACAATCCGCTTTACCCATACCAACCCTTAAAACTTCCCCTCCGCCCGCATCATCCCGCATCACTCATATGGTCCTTGACCTCGTTGAGCTATGGCCAGCTCACTTGGCATTAAATCCCTCAGGCCTTAATTAGGTTAAATTTCCCACTCAACCATCCATTTGGGGGTTTGGGCCCGTGGCATGCCGTCTCTCTCCGCTTGATGGACCCGGCCATGTCCGAACCCCCCCGGCCTGTTCAATGGGGTTGAGATTCTCCTGGATCACCGTTTCAGTCACCGTCTTGTCAAAGCAATGAGTCGCCGCCACCACAATGTGCATACTAGCATGACCTCGGTGACGGCATGGCCGGTCCGAAACAAGAAGGTCCATAACAAGCTGTGCCTGTCTTGCAAAATAAATAGATGACTTGTTGGAAACTGTTGTCCAAGTCATTGATCGGTTTTGCTCCCTCCGCCCAGGTGCTCAAGGGCAGCGCTCCGGATTTGGTGATCGCGTCCAGCAGGTCGAATGCGGCATCCTTCTCCTCAGCTGGCACCAGGTGGAAGCGACCAGGTGGACATCAAACACAAGACTGTTGTTCAAATCTCAATGCACTGCATTTTATTCTCTCTCTCTCTCTCGGCAGCGTCTGGCTACAACGCAGTCGTTTTCGGTGGGACACGCTGAGGAAGGACGATGTCGCGTTTTCCTGGATGGCACTCATTCTTTGAAGATCTTCCTCTGGAAGACTTGCTTTGTGGCATTCTTGTCCTAAGGACAAACTTTTGTGAAACAAACCTCTGCGACTGTATCACGGGGAGGCATAACCGCTAAGGTGGACTTCCAGCTGCACAGGCTCAATGGCACGATCGATCGTGCGCCTGGTGCAAATTACACGGTGAGGTGACTGTGCCGGATGCGCAGGTGGCATCGGCTTGAGCTCAGGATTGTTCACGATTTGGGACAAGCCTTCATGTAGTTTTCCGTTCAATTCCTCCAAGTGATTGCTCCTGCAAAACCACATGTCGCGCTCAGACTTCCAGAACTCTTCCAACCTTTCGTGCTCGGCAGTCTCCTCTTCTAGAGCTTTGATCTTTTGTCGAAGCTCGCATGTCTCGGCAACTGCTGCATGGTGTAACTTGCGTTCTTCACTCACCTCGCTGCTGAGCTGCTTGCAAGTCGCTTCAAGGAACTGAAGGGAATTCTCTTTCTCGACAACCGCCTCCTCCAAGGCCTTGACCTTTTGTCTAAAGGCGCAGTTCTCAGACACTGCCGCATGATGGAGGTTGCGCTCTTCGGTCAACTCGACTAGTAGCTTGTTCACTTCTTCTCCTCTCATCTGCAGTTTTTGCTCCATTGCATGATGCTCACACTGCAAGGCTTGGTTGTCCTTCAAGGCACTGTCTAAGCGCCTTTGAGTCTCTACTAGCTTAGCTTCTGTGGCCTTGTGCTGCTCAATCCGAAGGCTTGTCCGCTCAAATTCGTCCTGTCTAAACCTCTTCTCAGCCTCAAGCTCCTGCTGAATAAAAGCAAGCTTTGCACGAGCATCTTGCAAGCTCACTTCTCGTTCTTCCAGAAGGAGTCGTGCGCTGCAAAGTTCATCAGTTGAAACAGTGTGACAGCTCTCAAGCTGCATGATCTTTGCTTGCAAGCACTGCTCTCTTTCCAATACACTTGACAATTGCACCTTCGCTTCATAGAAGCATGTCTCGACATCATGAAAGCGTTGGTGCCAATAGTCCACTTGACATTGCAGCTGTGCCACCATATCCGTGCACCGTGCAGTCTCTAGTTGGGTTACCACTCTTGAGACCTGCGTCTGTGGTGGCGTCTTCACGAAGATCTCTGGCACACTGGGAGTGACCTTCAGCTGCGGGGGCGACAAATGAGGAGCGGAAGTAATGATACTCCGAACGGAGGAGCTCAAATCAGGACATCCCACCGAAGCCACCGCCATCGCGGCCCTGCTGATTGGAGCCACTCCGAAGGTAGTACTGGTTCAATGTTCAATGGTACCACTACTGGTGCGGCTGCACTTCGGATCCTAGTGCTTTGTTTGAGCCAACCGTGCCGGTTGATGAGCTACGAAGCACTGCAGGGGGCTGTCGAGGTTGGCTGGGGTGCAACAGGAGTGCTCAAACGAACTGGCCGTAGAGAACTATCGGGACCCTGTCGTGGTACAAAAAGATCAAAAACAAGACTCAGTCTCATGGTTGACTCTGCAGTCCCACTTCCTTCATGCACCTTCTCAATCCCAACATATCCCGGCCAAAGAAGAAAAGGCATAATTTTTGAATTTGCTCATCTTCCATCCTCCAATGCCATTACCTGCCCGTTAAAGCGCCCAAGCAGCCCTTTTCTGCTCTTCGGTGGTCAAGTTCTCCGTCTTCCTCTCTGCCAGCAAGGCCGGCTGAGAGCGCTTAGGCCACATGCGTCCAGGGTTGATGATGGTCGGGCGCAAGGCACTCTCCGGAGCGAGCCTTCGCTGTCTCAGCGACGCAGGTCCCATGTGAGCCCCGTTTGAGCCCCGTTCTTGTTACTAGTACGGCCAGAAGCCCCTAGTAGTACCGCCCTATAGAGAAACATGGTCATCCCAGGACTTATGATTTTATATCTCTGTCATGCATCACCAAACTCAGTAAGGGTCAATCCTCGTGCAACTACCGCACTCATTCATGCCCTAAAAACCGTCTTCGACTTGTTCCTGGCCTTTCGAACTGCTCGTCCAGCTGCTTGGGCACTTGCGTGTAATCACGGCCCATGTCATCCACCTCCATTGCTTCAGCCATCTCTGGCTCCACTGGGCCTGGTGAGGTTGCCGCGTGACTGGGCTTCGCTGGGACGGCACCGCTGGCACCGCTACCGCTGGCAGCACCGCTGGCAGCACCGCTGGCAGCACCACTGGCGGCACCGGTAGGGGCAGCACTCAGTTGGATGCTGTTGCCTCACAGGGTTTCAGCCGGAGAATAGCTAAGCCAAGCATAAAATGTCAGTTGTGAAATGGAGTTTCTAACTGCAATGATGCATCCATCCACCCCATCCCTTTCTCTGAGTCTCCCTCCGTCCTCTTCCCTTGGCCATGCCTTTCCCGGCTGCGCAGCTCGGCCGTGGCACAGCCATCGAGCGCCGCTCGACCTCCAAGACCGGAGCCGCGGCACACTTCTCCATGGAGGCGCCGCCACCGAAGGCGCTACCCATGGATTTCAGAAGCGATTGGCCGAAGGACATGCCCCTCCTGGATGGAACGTCAAAGGCCTGAAAGGCGGAGTGGGCGAGCGGCTCCTGCGCCCAAACACATGAACCGCATCCCCGGCCCAGGTCATCACCATGGGGGAGACCGGTCGTCACGGTCACAGTTCGGAATAGCGTTCAACGATACCCAAGGAAGCTTCTAGCTAGTAGCATCTTGTTACTACAGGTGAAACGATTCCTAGTGAAACGATTCCCAAGGAAGCTTCTAGCTGGTGGGCAGCTGAAGTCAACAACTGGTATGGTGGATATGTCCTTCAGAAGCCGGGGACTACAGTTGTTGGGGGACCACATGCAAACATAGAACTGACCTATCCATACAACTAACTATATAATATATACAGCATATATAAATTAAAAATATATAATGCATATATATATATATATGCTTTATGTTGCTATGCCCACCTCTTGACCCTTCCGCGCACTTTTGCCGGGGTCAAGTGCCATC